TTCATTTAGAGACACGATCTTGTACGGTCGTGATACTCTCACCATAGAGAATGTATATGATGATTTGTATTCAAAACAAAAGATGAAGCATCTGATTTTTCAGGCCAGAGATAGAGAAGAACCGGTTGCTCATGGTGGTTCTGGAAGGGGCACATCGAAGTTAAAATTTAGTAATCAGATTTGTAACTATTGCAAGAAGAAGGGGCACACGAAGAAGGATTGCTACAAATTACAGAATAAATAAAGGGTGGCTGCAAGTAGATATTCAGATACTTTAGGCGAAGTAGACCTCGATGGAGATCTTTTGGCTATTTCTGATGTAGAGTCTAAACCAAAGGAGGATTGAATTCTTGATTCAGCGTGTGTGTTTCATATGTGTCCTAATAAGGACTTGCTTACAATATATGAAACTGTTTTCAAAAATGTCGTGGTTATGGTAAACAACGCACCTTATCTGGTTGTTGGAATTGGTACGGTCAGATTAAAGCTTTTAAATGGGACAATTAGAACACTTGGTCAGGTACGACATGTTCCGAATTTGAAGAAGAATCTCATCTCGTTGTCTATTATTGATTCAAAGGATTATGAGTTCTTTGGTGGATGTAGAAAATGTTTTAGTTATACATCTTGTAGGGTTGTGCTGAAACTAGAAGAGTCAATTACGGTTTAGTACAATACCTTTAGGAGCTCGTAAAAGGTCGAATTTGAAGAATACTACTCACTTGAGTTCAAAAAATATGGATAATGCCGCTTTGCCAGCATCACCTGCGGTACCATTGTATTCAGTTGCAAGAGACGGACTCAGTGGAATAAGGTACGTGGATGATGATTTTGTTGAGCATGCTTTAAGTGAAGTAAAAGTTGTTCAATTTAACAAGGAACCTTCTTTAAAAGTATTTGGGTTTGATTCTGCTTTGGGTATGTTACAACCCAATTTGGTAAATTATAAAATCATTATGATTTTTTGGGAATCTAAGTTAATTCTACAAGAATAATTATTGGATTCATTGGAAGAGGTGGAATATTGTGTTTTGTTAAAAAATTATTTTTTGATTATTATTGAAGAAGTCAGTTCATTCCTTGGTGGAATTCGTGTCAATGTAGAGATTGTTAGAATTTGGGTGTAACCCGAATTTCTTATTTGAAGTATTGAAGAATTCTAATTGAAGTGCACGTCAAGAAGAATTCAAGTTTAGAATGCTATTGAAGTTCTATGTCAAGTTGAAATTCCATTTTGGAAGATCATTGGGAGTTGAAATTGGTATTGGACTTGAAGAAAAATTCGAGATGAAAAAACTTGGAGCAAAAAAAAAAAAAAAAGTTGGGCTGATTACCAGGCGCCGCGGCGCCACCTGTTTTGTTCCTTTTTCCTCATTTTCTTCTTCTACTTCGTTTTGGACTCGATTTTTTGGCATCCTACTTCTTCAACAACTTTAATAAAAGAGTTTGGACGTCCCCTATATATTCCCTATAAATATTATGTTCTTCTATACAATTTAATAAGTGTGAGAAAATATATTACTAGAATTATAGGATTCATTGTAATTTCCTCTCTTCTCCATTATTATTGAGACAATAAAATCTCTTAATTCTTCTGCCATATTTCTTGTCTTTTTTATTCCTTTGTTTGTGATCAAATACTTCATTATTATGTCATATAATTTTAACATCTCAATCTGATGATTGATTTCACAACACTTACAAAGTTGATTAGATATTTCAGGCATATGTAATGTAGAAATGAGGTATAGACTTGAATAAAATAAAATTGCATTATTGCATGTGAGGGCAAAAGTACAGGACCCCCACAATTATGTCAGTCTTTGATTCAGAATTTGTTGAAAAATGGAAGCAGTGGGAGTCACTTTGTGTTGCTTCTTTATAACCTTAACTAGATAAAGTGGACTACTCAGAAGCCTATGAAATGTATCACATCATCTGAACCTAAGGAATCTGCCTTTGTTTATTATTCACCCCTCAGCCTTTGTTTTGGTAATCGAGATGCGAGTACTGAATGTTGGCTGTCCGGAGAATGGACCGTAAGGAAAAATCCAACAAGTGCGCGACAACATGAGAGAAAATACAAAAAAATCATGATGTAGTTACGAAGTGCATGTTTAGTATGGAAGATATTATTAGAATATTAAAATAAACAAAATTTTAGTTTCTCAATTTTGTCGAGTACTATTCAATTTTTCTGTATGTCGTTGGATTGTGTACAATGTTTTGTTGATACTTCTTGGCAACGTAGGGCTTTGTATCCATCTAACAGTGGATCCTCGTCTTAAGTAGTCGGGCATTATGATAAGAACTCTTAAGATGATTTTTTCGTCATGTGAAAACTAGTTTACCTTTAATTTAAGTTTTTTTTTTTCCTTGGAATTTCATGGAAACAAAAACCCTAGTTTACATAACAGCTTTCGACCAAAGTGCGCAAAAATAATACTTCCTATGACAGCTAAAATTCGGCTTAAATTGCCTTCTCCCCATCACACTAAGCAAGCTCTTGATTTTTCTCCACAATTCTAACCTCTTTCGAAGCTCTAAGCACATCAGCCTGGTAATCATGCAAAACAAAGCACAATAACTTATCAATAAGGGTTCGTTTGATTGCAATGGTGGAAAGAAAATAAATTCTAGGAAAAGTAATTGCCTAGAAATTATTTTTCGAGGAATTGTTAATTAAGTGTGTTTCATTGGTATAATTTTTCACCCGGAAATTTTTTTAATTTTGTGTACGTTTGGCCTTTGTTTGCATCAAAATTGTCCATTAAAGTGATAATTTTTTCCACACTTGGTTATAAAATTTGTTTCCATTGAAAAAAATTTAAAAAAAAAAGAAAAAAAAATATTTTCTAAAAAATCAATTTTTTATCGAAGTTTCTTGTTCGTTTGCATCAAAATTGTCAATTAAAGTGAATTTTTTTTTATAATTGGTTATGAAATTTGTTTTCATTGCAAAATAAAAAAAAAGACAGACAGAACCCAGAATTCATTTTTCCACCTAAAGGTGGGAAAATCATTTCCTGGCACGCAAGGCTTCTGGCGCGTAGAGGGAAAATTAAAGTGACATTTTCCATGCCAAATTATGGTCATCAAACACTACTAAACATGGAAAATGGAATTTGATTTTCCATGGAATTTGTATGCTATCAAACAGACCATAAGCTTTTCTCAATCATAAATTGAGCTTGAAAAGTTGGCATGAATAATCACTCTATTATATTAGCATGTTGATTTGGTGGCTCATATATTTATTTATATGGGGGTTAGTTGATGGTGTGGATGGCCCATCCCGTTCCCGTAGCAAAATCAACTAGCCTATTAGATTAGACGTAGAGTTGGGGTGCAGGAAGGAGCCCCCACGGTACGGTACGGTACGGCACGGCATGGTACGGTTTTTTTATGGATAATTTCGAGATTAGAGTTCTATATAAATACCATATTGTAACCCTACTGGAAAATTAGTAAATTATTTTGTGTCGTACTCTAGATGTAGGCAAATTATTGAACCACTTAAATTTTGTGTGTCGATCTTATTGTTATTATTTTTTTCAGTTTTACTTTTCATTTTTTTCAAAATAATTGGTATTCGAGCTAGGTCAAGGATTTTCACAATTTCTGGGGTTTCATCTTCTGTGAAATTCAATATCATGAAATTCGATAGGTCAAGAAATTTTGGATTATGGTAGAGGGGGATGAAAGACGTGCTGGTGCAACAAGGAATGGTAAAGGCGTTAGGGAAGAAGCAAGAAGAGATGTCCGCGGCGAAATGGAGCGAGTTGGATGCAAGGGTTGTATCCATCACTCAACTTTGTTTAACAAATGAAGTGATGGTTCATATTATAGACAAGAAATCACATGCGACGGTTTAGTTGAAACTAGAAAGCCATTACATGTCAAAGTAGTTGACGAACAAGTTGTATCTTAAAATGAAGTTATATGGGCTTTTATTGCCTACTCTCTAATTGCAGTAAAAGTCCAAAACTCTATTTATAGTCGTTCTTATATCTCAGTTTGTTTATTGTATTTTTATTCTCAACCTTTCGGTGCAATAACAAATCTTGTCCATGACGACAATTTTCATCCAAAAAAATATGTTAAGAGTGCACAAAAAGAATTATTAAATGGCAAAAAATAACAATTACAAAAGTACAACAAAATATGTGTACCTCGTTTGCAAACAAAATCATCATCAAGATCACATGTGTTAATTAATGAAAGATTGAAGATAAGAATACGACATAATATAGGTGGGGACATAAGTGTAACAATAAGCTAATATTGAGCAATTTTAGTGTTAATATAGCCGCTATCAACTAATTAATAAAGGAGGATTAATGTTAGACAATTTGCCCTTTTTTAGCACATAGGAAGAAGTTTCAGATCCCATAATTATTAGATATTAAAAGGATACTCATATATTATCGCAATTATTAGATATTAAATGAATTGTGTGGTGTTAATAGGGCTTTCCATGGGTCGGTTTGGTTCGGTTCTGAAGAGAACCGAACCGACCCAAGACTTTTGGATATTTAATAAATGGAACCGTCGGATCCAAATATAATTATGGAACCGTTAGGGTTCGGTTCCGTACCATAATTAAAATTTTTAATATTTACAGCAA